GGTTGTACAGGGACCGAACAGCCCTTATAAGGCAGTCCGACGCCCCGTACTCCCGGAGCACTCCCCACAGGACTCCCCGAGCGACGCGGTCGAATGCCTTCTCCAAGTCCACAAAGCACATGTAGACTGGTTGGGCAAACTCCCACGCACCCTCCAGGACCCTGCCGAGAGTATAGAGCTGGTCCACTGTTCCACGGCCAGGGCGAAAACCACACTGCTCCTCCTGAATCTGAGGTTCGACTATCCGACGGACCCTCCCCTCCAGCACCCCCGAATAGACCTTACCAGGGAGGCTGAGGAGTGTGATCCCCCTATAGTTGGAACACACCCTCCGGTCTCCCTTCTTAAAGATGGGGACCACCACCCCGGTCTGCCAATCCAGAGGCACCGCCCCCGATGTCCAGGCAATGCCGCAGATGCGTGTCAACCAAGACAGCCCCGCAACATCCAGAGCCTTGAGGAACTCCGGGCAGATCTCATCCACCCCCGGGGCTCGGCCACCAAGGAGCTTTTTAACCACCTCAGCAACCTCTGCCCCAGAGATAGGTAAGTCCACCCCCAAGTCCCCAGACTCTGCTTCCTCATTGGAAGGCGTGTTGGTGGGATTGAGGAGGTCTTCGAAGTATTCCTTCCACCGACCCACAACGTCCCGAGCTGAGGTCTGCAGCGCACCATCCCCACCATAAACAGTGTTGATGCTACACCGCTTTCCCGCCCTGAGACGCCGGATGGTGGACCAGAATCTCCTCGAAGCGGTCCGGAAGTCATTCTCCATGGCCTCGCCAAACTCCTCCCATACCCGAGTTTTTGCCTCAGCGACCGCCGAAGCCGTGTTCCGCTTAGCCTGCCGGTACTCATCAGCTGCTTCCGGAGTCCCACAGGCCAAAAAGGCCCGATAGGACTCCTTCTTCAGCTTGACGGCATCCCTCACCAGCGGGTTCGGGGATTGCCGCCACGACAAGCACCGACCACCTTACGGCCACAGCTCCGGTCAGCCACCTCCACAATGGAGGCGCGGAACATGGCCCATTCGGACTCAATGTCCCCTGCCTCCCCCGGAACATGGGAGAAGTTCTGCTGGAGGTAGGAGTTGAAAATTCCTCTGACAGGGGATTCTGCCAGACGTTCCCAACAGACCCTCACTATATGCTTGGGCCTGCCAGTCCTGCCCGGCTTCCTCCCCCACCAGCGGAGCCAACCCACCACCAGGTAGTGATCAGTTGACAGCTCCGCCCCTCTCTTCACCCGAGTGTCCAAGACATGCGGCCGCAAGTCCGACGACACGACTACAAAGTCGATCATCGAACTGCGGCCTAGGGTGTCCTGGTGCCAAGTGCACATATGAACACCCTTATGCCTGAACATGGTGTTCATTATGGACAATCCGTGACGAACACAGAAGTCCAACAACAGAACACCACTTGGGTTCAGATTGGGGGGTGGGGCGTTCCTCCCAATCACGCCACTCCATGTCTCACTGTCATTGCCCACGTGGGCAGTGAAGTCCCCCAGCAGAACAAGAGAGTCCCCGGGGGGAGCGCTCTCCAACACCCCTTCCAAGGACTCCAAAAAGGGTGGGTATTCTGAACTGCCGTTTGGTGCATAAGCGCAACCAACAGTCAGGACCCGTCCCCCCACTCGAAGGCGAAGGGAGGCTACCCTCTCGTCTACTGCGGTAAACCCCAATGTACAGGCGCCCAGTCAGGGAGCAGTAAGTATGCCCACCCCAGCTCGGCGCCTCTCCCCGTGAGCAACTCCAGAGTGGAAGAGGGTCCAACCCCCTTTGAGGAGACTGGTTCCAGAGCCCAAGCCGTGCATCGAGGTGAGCCCGACTATATCTAGTCGGAACCTCGCAGCCTCGCGCACCAGCTCAGGCTCCTTCCCCACCAGAGAGGTGACATTTCATGTCCATAGAGCTAGCTTCTGCAGCCGAGGATCGGACCGCCAAGGTCCCTGCCTTCGGCCACTGCCCAACTCACACTGCACCTGACCCCTATGGCCCCTCCTACAGGTGGTGAGCCCATTGGAGGGGGGTGTTAGGTGTTAGGTGTTAACACTATGACAAACACTGTGTTCAAAATAACATTTTTACCATGTATATGGTGTTTATAAGTGTCCTACCTAGTGTTTTTTATTTTTTTATTTTTTACCACAGACACAGACAAGCTTGCCATGGACGCATTTATCCATGTTGGGACAGGTTGATGATCCCAAATATATAGTTCTTCCCAAACTGCACATATATTGCACAAAATATCAGAAACCCAGAGCCACATCCCGCTATAATTTCTGATTATAATTTATAATAATACCTGTTTGTGCACTGCACCACTGGACCGCTTTGCAGGAGCAGAGTGCGGGTTAGGAAGAAACTGCATTGGATAGTCAACTGAAAAGTGCAGAGAAAATTTAAAAGCATCACACACTAATGAAGAACTGCATTTTTTCCTGTAATGACAACTCTGCTGGAAAAGGATATCATGAAACACATTCAGGGTGCCTTCAGGTAAAATGCTCTTCCTCTAAAATTAAGTGGAATTGTTGGACACCGACAGCCTCCACTGTTTCTGTAAAAATATGCAATTCTGTTTCCAATGAATTTTTGAGAAAGAGAAAAATATCTAACAAATAATGAAATTGACTCAGTCCTTTTATTATGTGCTGAACTAGTTGACTTAGAGCTGGGTGGTATGACCAAAAATTTATATCACGGTATTTTTCAAAGATATATCGGTTTCACAGTATACGACGGTATTTTTCTTAAAGTATGACCACATTTTACAGGATTTTACAGGACACATTTTTGTTTTACATTTTTGCATTGTCCCCACATTAACTATATTATTTTATTATTAGCCATTGCACATATCCACTACCTTAATGATAACATACAGCTAACGTGTTTGTTGGCTAACTGCTTATAAATGGCTAATGCTAAGGTGTTAACATTAAGTTAACATTTTTGATAAGTGTTTCATAGTTCAGTGTTGCTGGAAAGCAAGCTTTACTGACCTCGCAAAATTTCTCATAAAGACTGGGATGTCGGCCTTTAAGATGTTTCGCCAAGTTTGACGTACTACTTGACATTGTCGCCACAACTTTGTAGCACTGTTTGTATAGAGGCTTTTCGACATCCTTAGCCTTTCAATGCTCGTCTGCAAAATACTTCCAAACAGCACTTTTGTGTTTTTTTTTTTTTTTTTAACTAAAGCAGCTTGCAAAGTACATTCAACTGCAGCATATGCCATGTTTGGCCAAATCGGTACGTGTGTGTTAACCAGCGCGAATGTGATCGGCAGCTATTCAGAGAGGGGAGGGGTTGCGCGAGTGTGTGCGTGTGCGAGCGTGCACACATGCCTGTGCTGTAGTGGTGCTGTGTGAAGTATGCCGAATGAGGCAAAAACCGCACTGTTGGTATCAATAATGGTGAAAGAGTATCTAATCAGATTCAAATTTTTTATATCTATTAGTATCTGAGAATCGATTTTTTGACAACCCCAGTGTCTCATTATTTTCAACTCCAGCGTCAGCTATATCTTCCATTTCTGATCTTTCGCGGTACATTTTTAGTGGTGCAACAGTGAAAAAGGTCCCCCCTTAAACAGTTTCCAGCTGCGCCACTTTCCGAATGTTGTGTAGGCTATTTAAACCAGTATTGCGGTATAAGAAAAATTCACAACAATAATAAAAAATGGTTTTCGGTATGAACCGGTATACCGCCCAACACTAGTTTGGCTTCTGAATCTGTTTGCATCACATACTTGATTATGAAGGAATTTTCAAATCAAGAGATTTTTGAAAATATCCTGAAATTCTCATAGTTTTTTTTAGTTTTTGTTTTTAAGTTTGTGACGACAAATATCTCTGGGATTTCAATATAGTAAAACAATTGAAAAGTAAATCACACACGCACGCACGCACTCCTATATATAAACAAATGGAGATTTTCATGACGTTCTACAGGAACTGTGCTAACATCTGTTATTTAATGTCAAACAATTTGCCAGCCTGATCTAATCATTATGACAATTGGTTACAACGAACAACCCAGTAACAATAATTTTGCACTTCAACGTATAACCAAAATACACAACTGCTGTTTAAACCTAAATAACAGTCTCTAGGTAACTTTATACAGTGAGCACCACGGAGGATGTGCATGTTTTTAAGTAAACTTTGTTTTTATCATAACGATAAAGTACAAGAAAACCTTTATGGTTAATCTAGAAAAGGGAGGAGCATTGTCTGAAGGAGGCAAATTTTTCATTGGGATTTGTGCATTTGACAAAAGACTACCTTTTCAGGTTCCACAATATAAATGAATGAATGAATTAATTAATTGTGTGTGTGTGTGTGTGTGTAAAATATGAAGAATACAGAGGACTACTTGCCTGGTTTACAGGGAATGGGTTGCAGGGGAAGGCCCATCTGAGGCTCTGAGGTGACTGACAGGGGCTGCGAGTTATGGTGAAAGGCAGGGATCATCACATAAGGCATGTTCACCTGCTAAAAGAGGGCAGACAAGCAGGATGGTCCATCGTCATACAACATGACCCAAAGGGCCAAGCCAGACAGCACAGGAATACAAAAGTCCTTGTGAGTTGTTATACCATTAAAGGAATAATTTAAGGCCTCTTGTATTCATAACATGAAGAGCATTAAAAAATGTCATGATGCTGTCAATGGTGGAGTGTGGATCTAACTGCCTCAGCCCAGAAAAAGTGGCCAGATTCATGGATCTATAAGACCACAGTAGTTTTTTCCCCATTAGTAAGCAATTGTTCAGTAGCCTCTGCTTGCATAAGGTATAAAGTTTAGCACATTTCATAGCTCTCTTCCATAGGTTGAAATGGGACTAAAACTCCAAAGAATGGAACTGCTATTATACTCACAAGCCAGTAAACCCACACTAAATACCTGGCAATATGAATGGGAAAATGGGAAAAAGTACAGAGTATATCGTCAGTCCTGCTACAATGCAACTAAAGTGCTCCTGAAAAACCTCTCATTCATTAAAATCATGTACTAAAATACACATATTCCATGGGAAAAACTAAGTTACTAAGTCTAGGGAATATGACTCCTAGACTTAGTAACCTACACCAAATTTAGTAAATTTAGTAACTTACACCAAAATTACCAGCTTTACACAAAGAAAAACTGGTTCTAAAAAATGACTTGTTATGAATCAGACATCATTATAGTTCACTTGGACAGCTGTTTTTGCGTTCAAGTAGTGTTTCTCGCCAAGACTATATGTTGCAGTTCGCGCGTTGCTTTTCTCTGTGGCTGAAAATTGTGCAAATACAAATGCGATTCTGCATTGTATTGGAGGTGGTTACTAATATATTAATTGTGTTAGAACTGATTTGCGGTGTGATAACACACGTGGTAGCAGAACTGACTCTATGTATAGTATATGTAAATGTATAGTATACTTTGTAAAGTGCTATAGATAAAAGATAAGCAAAACATTTAACATTTTAAAATATCTTACTTGAATCTGCTGCTGCAAGAGATTGATCTTGTGTTGCTGCTGGATAAGCTGCTGCTGCTGCTTGGCAATCTGTGACAGAAATAAAGCTTTAGGTTAAACTTATTTGGCCCAATAGCACAGATAAAGTTGAATAAATCACTATCAAGATTGTCCAAAATTAAGCATAAAGGTCACCCAGGTCTTTCAGGGTTAGGCCAGTAGCTATCAGGTAAACTCACCTGCTCCTGCTGCTGCCTGGCCAGCTCCATCTGCTGTTGCTGCTTTTCGAGGAGCAGGGCCGCCATGTTCCTTTGTTCAGAGTGAGCACCCAGTAGCTGGTCCCGCAGGCTTGACAGCTGGTTGATCATCACCAGCAGCTGCAGCTCCTTCTCTGCTAGACTCTCTGGAGTACCTTCCCACAGAAAAGCATAGTTGGGATCATGGAAGCAAAGACAAAATAATACAAATGATGCCAAGGTCATGCTAATAAAGAGCGTTCAAGGAAGTATAATACTCATGTAATGTCTCTGCAAGACCAAATACAGTAAGAACCTCATGGCAATAATGAAGCATAGTTTGAGGATGCTCTGCTGCATTATTACAACCTGGATAACTTGATATGACTGCCTCCCCCGAACAGATCCTCACCACATTCTACACCAGCACCATCGAAAGCCTAGTCCGTAGCTGCATCACTGTCTGTTACGGGAACTGTAAAATCTTGAACCGTAACACGCTTCAACAGATAGTGAGAGCAGCTGAGAAGATCATCGGTGTGCCCCTACCCCCCCTAAAAGACATTTTCCAGACTCGCTGCTACAACAGAGCCTAAAAAATTGTAAAAGACCCATCTCACCAACTACACAGACTCTTTTCCCTCCTACTGTCCGGAAAAAGGCTTCGAAGCTTCCGCTCCGCCTCTACCAGACTGTGCAACAGCTTCATACCACAAGCCATCAGAACTCTGAACACACACTAATATGTGGACTGACTCTCTTCAAATTCCTCTAAACAGCATATACAATCTACCTCTAAATTGCAACTGCACTTTACTTACGAAGTTAACATCTCTCCACTACTTATTTATTATCTCTGCACTATTTATTAACTGCCTGCTTCCACCTTGCACGCCCTGTTACTGTAATGTTGTGTACTACATGTTGCACTGGGGCCATGGAGAAACGTTGTTTCATCACTCTTTGTACAGGTATGAAGCTGCTGATGACAATAAAGTAACCCTGAACCTTGATTAGAATTATTAATTTTGCAGGAAAATATCTGGCCAATGCCCTGAGCAGTAGGTTGTTCTATCAGCATGAAAATGGTGTACTGTCAAAATGCAAACACAAATTCTATTGAGATATTTTAGCAACACCTAAAACAAGCAGGCCTTTTTTATTAACCTACAAATGCCACTTGTCTATTGATGAATACAGATGCAGTGAATCCCTACAGTCAGCATAACTAGTTACATGGAAATATTAGCTGTTGAATGACTTCTTATGGAAAATTAACATTTTTGTGATATTTACTCACTCAGGTTCCTTTATCTAACATTCATATTTAGTTCAGATAACAATCAGCCTGAAAAATAAGCTGACATACAGAGAATCAGACAGGACAGACAGTGTGCCCTGTGTTCCAGGAGGACCTTGGTGCATATTTGAGGAGTGCGGTGGCCTCTCACCTTTCAAACTTGTGCTACCATGGGCATTCTTGACCAAAATTTTCTCTCTCAAGTCTGAATTCAGAAGTTTTTCAATCGTGGGCATTACTGTGCATCCACATGCAGCAAAAGAATGAAAGTAAAAGCACATAAAATGGACAGGAATTACGGTAAAGATCAAACTGGTCGAAAGAGAAAAATCTCAGAGAAAATTATATCAAAAAGAAAAATGTCTTTTTTCATGCAACTTTTATCTCCATATCAGAGCAAAAACACAATAAACAAATCCTGTGTGTGTTTGTGTTATGTAGATATTACACCATGGGGACCATATGTCCCCACAGTGTGATAAAAACCTGTTATTTTGACAATGCGGTGGGGACCATATCTTTGGAAATTGAATTTTATAAAAATATGTGACTGCATGTGGTGTGTATGTGGTGTGTGTTTGTGTGTGTGTGTATATGCACTCCTGGGCAAAAAAGTAGGCCAAAGTTTAATGTTGAGGCACTCATTTTTTTGCCCAAGAGTGGAGAAGGTCCTTGTATGGTACATGTAGCATGAACAGTGCATGGAATGTCAATGGCTCACCCTCACTAACGCTATGCTGGAGGTCCAATTTGTCAAAACTCCGAATGCCTCCATCTTGGCCTGGAGGGCTGTGTCCCTGTGTCCGTTCTTTTTTGGGAGAGCCGTCCCCTCGCGGGGATGTGCCCAGTGATGTCCCCTGTGGTTTCATGACAATCCCACTGATGGCCTTTGAAACAACACAAACAACTCTACGTTCACAAAAAATACATTTTAAAAAGACAACATATCTATCTCTATATAAACTAGTCCTTCATTTTAAAGTGAAATCTGAATTAGCAAATGAATAATGACATTGCCTCTTTTACCAAGGGCGACTGTGACATCCTCAGCTGAAAATCTGCCTGCTCGGCCAGTGGGCGTGTCAGCCAGCTGCAGGGTGATGCTCTCTGGAGCTCCCTGCCAACCTCTCCACTGCTGATATCACCTGGGCCTTCCTCTTCCACCTTCACACCCATGCCCACCATGGTTACATCATTGCTGGCCTGGAGATGCAGTGCTGAGGGGCCGGGCTCACACATCCTGCAGAAGAAAACCAAAGATCTCCTGTCAAGCCAAAGAAATGCATGTTTTACAAATGCCACCAATATCATCCTGTTGACAAGTGGATGACAATTGGCTCCTGCTGGAGTACCTTATTCAGCAGGCCAGGCTAATACTGCTGACTAGACAAAGGCTGCCTTAAGTGTGTCACCTTTTTAGTTTTTTAGTTTCCTAGGAGTTAGGAGTCATATACATATTTTTCAGCAAGTGAACATGCGAAAAAAACATGTAATTTATGGAGAATTATCTTTTATTTCTTCACCGTTCTGATTGAAAAGGAAAAGAAACGGTGAGGCAAAACATTGACACAGGCTTAAAAAGAAAAGTACCTGTAATGTAATATTCTTACAATTATCTAGAAATTAAAACAAACTATTTGGCAGAAGTTCTGCTATGTGAAATGTGATAAAGCAACAGAGTCCTCCCCAAATACACTGCTCTCTGTATCAGATCTGATGAATCTTGAAGCACTCACTATCCCTGCATATGGACCACAGTTTGTTTATGAAACCCATCAGTTGCCTGTTTTGCATGGAAAACAGCAATGCATTGTCTGGGCAGACTCAGCCTGGCCACTTTTAATAAAGAGTAAATCCTGTCACAGAGCTTAGTGATTAGGTGCCTCAAATCTAGCATGCTGGACCATGTTGGGTATAAAATACCTCCTTATGAAAACCTAAAATTAATAAGCAATGGGGAGAAAAAAACATATGAATCAATATTCCTCTTATTTTTTTTTATGGGTAAAGACTACAGAATAAAACGCAGTATATATAATTGTCATGGAAATCCAACAGAGGAAGTGTGATCAATAGTCACAAGATGGACAAAAGCATTAAACACCAGGAAACTCAGAAGGGCAACAATACAAGTGGACTGTAAAAAAGGGGAGAAGAAAAAAACAGCAGAGCAAAATGTATGAACAGCATCATCCTAATCATTAAATAAAATTTGATCATATTGAACAATATTTGAATCTAGCAGGAAAATGTGATTACATTCTTAATTAACTATGCATAAAACTTACATAAATTCATACATCCATTCAGCTCAATTTCAGAAGCCGGCCTAACTGTCCATCAGTGTGTTCCAGAATGAGGCAGACGAAAGAGGTTATGATCACCAGACAGCCCAAGCAAAATTACCCCGCAATGAGAACTAACACTATTTTTAAGATAGTGTTATTTTTTATAGCAACCATAGTCAGTCTTTAATCTCAGTTGCAAAGTCTGTGGGGACCCGGGAGCAGGGCTGTACCACCCTTTCCTGTGTCGCTAGACCACTTCTGATTGTTATCAGAGGCTGTGCCTCTTGGGAGGCCTGCCATGCCTGTGAGAATAGCCCTTTACAAACTCCCTGCAGACTAACAGATCCTACTGAGACTGTCTGGCATTTGAGGGTTCACAGATATAGCTAAATCAAAGGTGGGGATATCATTAAGAGATGGCGACACTAAAGGTCAATTCATATTTCCCATATCTGCATGAGTTTACTGTCCATGTGTACTACACATTTCCATGGATGTTGATGGTCACATCCATCAGATGTATTGCAATAAACACAAATACAAGCAGTGTCATGAAACAGGTAAACGTTTTATGAACAGGTTTAAAGTTGCTAATAGGCTTGGGTGGGTGGTATTAAGGTAATATGGCGTACTGCTATATTTTGGAATCCTTGCAACACCCATACACCAACCCCCGTCCACAGCTTCATGAATTATATCGTCTCAGTTTCAAAATCTGTCTGGACAGTATGAAAATGGACAATTATATATGTGGGTACTGATGCACCTCCTCATACAACTGTTCACTATAACTGCTATAACAACTATTTTTCTTCCTGATCTTCTTCTTCTCTTTCTTGGTTGACCTTTGCTCTGTGAAAGTTAGTGCTGCCACCTGTTGAATTTCCTTGTACATGCACTGTCCAGACATACTGTAAAACTCTGGGGTACACTCCTTATAAATCCAAAATCATTCAAGCATAAAAATGTCTAATACTTCCCTTATATGGTGTATTAGTCTGTACCAAACTAGGTGAATCTGACCAGATGACAAACTATAGCTTCATCACTACTACATACATCTAAAGAGACAATATCCAGTTGGGACCGCCACAAGAATCTGAACGAACCTATAAAGTTCATTATTTATTTTGTTCAAAATGGCAGTGCATTCTATTAATCAGTGATTTCATTTTATCTACCTCTTACCCCAAACAGAGCTTGTAGTACAAGGCAATATCATGATCTCTTGAAAATGGTCTCCATCCATTTTTACAGTGATAGATACTTTTATAAAGAGAATACTCTGAAAAGCTACAAAATGGCAACTGTATATTTTGCCAAAAAAGGTGGTGGGGGAAAGAGTCCCTTCATATGTATGCCGATTGGGTGGGGGGGGGGGGGTATACCCCCAGGTGTCTCTTTTACATTGTAGAGGGGTCCTCCTTGGTATATTATACATCAGGGAGACGGGGGGATTCAGAATTTGCATCATGGTCGGCTAGAAATGTCTTGCCTAAAAAATATACATAGTATGGGAATAAGGTAATGAAGAGTAGCCCCAAAGAAAACAGAGAACCATTTGCATGAAATGAATAGGCACCACTCAAACAACTCACCAACTAAACATTAGTGTATTCTGTGTTTACAAGTTGTTTATGTAAATATATAAACAAAAAGGGGACACAATTGCATGCCAGGAAATACAGAGTTGACAAGGAAGACTGATCTAGACTGTTGTCTACTGATTTCAACTCCCTTGATTAAAGAGAAAACATATACACTTATATGTGCTGCTCCTATACATTTCGAACTTCCATTTTCATATATATACATACTATACATATTTGGAATTTTTCTGCTTTCATCTGCTTTTCAGATAAATGCACAACCTTTAGTTAAAAAAACTTCCTAAGCAAATAAGTATGGGCTAGTTCAAAAAAGGAAAACCATTCAGTTGTTAATAAATATAATTTTTGCCCTGGCATAAAAATACTACATGAATCAAAAAAGGAAAAAAATCTGCGTTGTTTATGTGGCTAGTAACACACAAACACAAAAGTTTACATTGGAAACATTGGTTCAGGTGATAATAATAGATTGGTTATCTTTTTTCCTAATCACTTTTGGGGACAGCCCCAGAATAGTCCCTGTGCTAATTTTATTCCTTTTTCCCTATGTAGCAGAAATTAAAAAAAAAAAATTCAAATGACCGACAAAAGGAAAAAGGAAAAATGAATAGATGAAACACTGCACAATATACCACACCTTGCAAATTTCCTTCTAGCTAAATAACCCTCTGCCACTAACCTTTGTAAAGTGACACCAAAGTATGATAAACACACTAAACCTTAATTTCAGCAAGTTTTCAGTTATTCTATGTGGTCTGCCTAAATAAAAAAATATGTAAATAAATCTAAATAAAACAAGTTCAGCTCAGGTGTTTGGATTATTTAGGTTTCTGTATATAACATAAATTAGTGGGTGTCCACTCATAAGAAAAAGAGTGCTCTGCTGTCTCTTTTCTGCCTTTCACAAACACCTTTTCACCCTTCTGTTTTTCTTGTTTATTGTGCTCCAGAAAACATACTGTGGCCATTCATTTAAGATTCAAGGTGGGATATGAATGAAGAGCAGAAATACACTTATAATAAAGAAGTAAAACAAGAGAACAGGCATAAAGCATGTGTCTGAAGAACATGTTTATGATTGTCTACAACCCTCCAGCTGCCACATCCCTTATTTTTTTAAAAGAAAAAAAGAAAATGAATGTGGTGGCTTTAAGACTTCAAATCAAAATTCAGGGTCATTTCTTCAGTGATTTGTATATGTATGCAGCATTGTGTATTTAATATGGTGGAAATGGTCATAAACTGAAAGATGACAATGATAATCACCTTGTTAGAAAAGTAAATATGAGCTTTCAAGCAGAGTCTATGCAGTATTTGAGTCTCCATGGAGACCAGCTCAGCTCTTTATGAGGTAAGGAATGCAACAGGTACCTCTGAACAACTGTTCTTCCTAATTCTCCATCTTCTGCAATGAAAGGTGGGGTGACTTAAGATGGTAGCTCATAAGAGTTAGAACTTGTGAGAGTTGGAAATGGAACAAGAGATTATCTGGGTATATAACGGTTGTGATTATATTGACCATTCTGAATATGTCGATTTGGTCCAGATATATTTTACCGTTTATCACTGGCATAAAATATCAGTCAGAAGTTTTTGCACACCACAGGTTTTTACCACTTTTCCATTTATTTCATAAACTGCAGATTTTAAAAATTCTTTTTAAGCATTGGAAAGTTGAGTGAATAACTAAATTAAAAGATAAGTCAAATAAAACCTTTGTAACATTGAAAGACTATGTAACAGTGCATGTCTGACATAGTATTAACTGGTTGTGTGGTGATGGCATAGTCAAATTCTAGGCTGTCCTTTAACTTTAAATACACTAGTTAATGGTTTCTTCCCATGAAACAGAGTAGTATGTAATATCCCTTGTAGAAAGTAACATGAGGTTACTTTGATGAATCAAAGATATATCATTTTCTTGCTAATAAAGGCACTCAGATGGTAAACATACTGTAAATTTATATGTTATCAAAGAATACTGAGTGTATTTTTAGCAAATGTTAAGTGAGCAACAAGCAATAGTAAAAAATCTCAGTGTGTGCAAAAACTTTTGACTGGTACTGTACAGATATCAAATCACACTACAGAGTATAAAATACATGCACTTGGCTTACTTAAACTGGTGAAATTTAACCCTTATTTAAACAGGTGAAATCTGATGATATAACATCCATGAGGATAATGTTCCAAATAAAGACTGAATTGACCTCTGTGTGTGTGGCCTCTGGTATTAAAATAATTTTACAGTGATGATAGGCAGCATGAATAACATATCATGCTATCAGATATTCTATTGATATTTATTTTTAGTATTTTATGGTTATAATGTACTAGCAATA